GCAGGATAACTGCCAGGCTGGCCACCAAAGGCCACATGCGAACCCAGGAGCAGGTCCGCATGACAACCAAGTTGGTCCAGCGAGACCCCCAACCCTGAGCCCTGAGCTTCCTCTCCCCCTTCTTCTCCTTGCTTCCCCCTTCCAGCTCCCTCCTTCCAGGTTTCCCCCTCCCCTGTCTCCCACCCTCTCTTCTCCTCTCTCCCGCCTCCTTTCCTCCGTCTCACCAGAGTTTCATTCCCCACCCCCCCCAGTTTTGTTAAATAAAGAGAGTTTGTGTTGATGAAAATACGTGTATTTTATTTGACGTCAGGAAGGGGGGTTAGGGAGGGGTACGTGGAAGGACGTGAGGGAGAATTGAGGCACAAGTCCCCAGTGGGGCAGACCAGGGAGGCTCTTAGTACTCCTCAGCGTGGAAGCTTTCCCACAGGGCCTCCTGGATACTGACGGACCTCCTAGAAAAATGATGGACCTCCTAGAAAAGTGCAGCCAGGCTCACAGCAACGCATCCACGAGAAGCACCAGAGTGTCCAGGGGCGGCTCCAGTTCCATGTTGCAGAGTGCTGTGGTGTCCTGAGTGAGGGTAACTAGCGTATGCAGAGACAAAATGCTTTGCTGTCCCTCACCGAGGTAGGCAAGCAATTAGGGAAACCTGAGAAAGGAGGGGTCCCTTTAAGCACTGGCCTCAGATAGCCTCAGGCAGCAGACACACAAAGTAACTCCTGACCTGATGCCATGACGGACCTGGTTCCAGACAGTCTTAAATGCAATTCAGCGTCTACTCAGTGTGGATGCGCTATTTCGAAATAACTTATTTTGAATTAACTATTTCAAAATCTGATATTTTGAAATAACGCTGTTGTGTAGACTTACCCTAAGGGCTCGTCTACACTGGCCCCTTTTCCGGAAGGGGCATGTAAATTTCACCTATCGTAGTAGGGAAATCCGCGGGGGATTTAAATATCCCCCGCGGCATTTAAATAAAAATGTCCGCTGCTTTTTTCCGGCTTTTAAAAAAGCCGGAAAAGAGCGTCTACACTGGCCCCGATCCTCCGGAAAAAGCGCCCTTTTCCGGAGGCTCTTATTCCTACTTAGAACAAAGGAGGATAACTGGTATAGCAGAATGGAAGATCATACTGGCTACTTTGGAGTAGGAATAAGAGCCTCCGGAAAAGGGCGCTTTTTCCGGAGGATCGGGGCCAGTGTAGACGCTCTTTTCCGGCTTTTTTAAAAGCCGGAAAAAAGCGGCGGACATTTTTATTTAAATGCCGCGGGGGATATTTAAATCCCCCGCGGATTTCCCTACGACGACTGGTGAAATTTACATGCCCCTTCCGGAAAAGCGGCCAGTGTAGACAAGCCCTAAGAGTATAACGAGTTGTTTTACAAAATTAAAGCATTTTCAAATCATGAAAATGAGTTACTTCCATTACCATTTCATGCACTCTTTCAAATTTATGAAACAGTGTGAAATATCACCTTCCCTGCCCCTGTTCCAAAAACAACCTAACTCTACCCTCTTATGAACATTCTTCCTCAACCTGCACAACAGAAACTTGCATAGTCCCTCCTCTTCCATTTATATTCTCAATATAGTCTACAAATGGCAGAGTACTCAAGGGAGTGACAGCATTAAACTTGCTAATATGGCTCAGGGCCACCTGGGGATCCCTATAGACTCAGATAATCCTTTGGTAGTTGCTTAAACTGGATTTAGCTAAAAGGTACATTAAAATTTTTCTCTTGTCCTGATCAGGGTACTCAGAATACCCCATTCATCGAACCACAGCTGATGGATAGCTTATTTACCTTAGAGGAAAGAAAAGAGTTGGCACCTGTGCAGATTGTATTACATTTTCATTTGGAATTAGTGATTACAAAAACATCTAACACTTTGCCAAAACCTTCCTAGGCTTCCAGGATATACATGCAATTGAATTTTTTTTTTTTTTTTTGTAACTTTTCACAATGTTAGTATTGGTCTCCATTGCAAACATGATTCAAGCAGTTCTCTCAGAATGCTGAACTAGGACTTTTTTTAGACTTAAAACTCCCCATGCTGCTTCTGTTAAAGTCAATGCCAAACTTCTATTGACCATCAATGGAATTAGACCCTGGCACAGCTTAGTGATGCAGAACATGTTTTACCTCTGAACTGTATGTTTGTGTGTGTGTCCTTCCAGAGAAAACCAGTCAGTGATACTATCTATGCAACAAAGGAGGTTCCAAATTTTGGAAAGACTATGCCATTTAAGTTGTCACATAAAATGCCACTGACCTTCAGCAAGAATCTATTTTTCAGACTTAGATTTTCAAGTCAAAATGTCAAGTTCACAAATCAGTATTTTTTCTATCTTCTTTTTTGGATTGTTAGGTAGCATAAATAGAATATAAAATGTCAATGTACTTCATCGTAATTGCCACCAACTTATATTCTACTCTTAAAATAGCAAGAAATGGCTTTGAGATGGGGAGATTTGCAGAAAGATCATTTGCAGAAAATCTCACGAGGTAGCACAAATACTGTGTCTATGACTTCCAAATGTATTTATTTTGTTCTGTAACAGGTCTACAATATGTAAAGTGTGTAGAAATTGAGATAAAATAATACAATTATACATATTATGCAATTTTAAAATGTGAAATAGCTTTTTCAATGAGAGAGACCCTGGTGTGGGCTGTACAGTTTTCCGGAAGCAATCCTTATCGGAAGCAATTAGTGGCTCAACTGGTAAACAAAAATACACCACTTTTCAGAATAATTGCCTTTTGAGGCTGCATAGATGAAAGGAATGGTAGGAGAAGAGAAAAGGAACCAATTTAAGCAAGAAAACAGCAATTTTACTAATTCAGGAAGAAATAAGGTTGCTTAACTATTTTCTGTTTTTGAAAAGAACAGTGAAACCTATGTTTGCTTACAAGAGAACAAAATCTTTACTTGCTTTTATGAGTTCAAACTTTACTGTTAGATCCTGGGTAAGCCATGTTACCTTTTCAACTTCATATCTTCCTTACAAATATTAATACTGAAAAATCCATTTTATCCAACAGAACAAGTGGATTGTTTGCTTATTCATATCTTCCCAAAAATTTGAACTTTGAAGTATTTCCATGAGCATAGGGTATATGTTTGAAAACATTTTAATTGTGGAGACTTTGACATTTAATTTCAGTCTTTGAATGGAAGCTATTCTACAAAGTTAAAAAAGAGGTGAAGATATATCAAGGCTCTTGTAACTATTAAGAACCAACAAGGGAGCTTGTATAGCTGCCTGGAAACCTAGAGACAGAGGGAAAAGAGTGGTGTCATCAGTGAGGACTAGAGAGAAATACCTGACTAGAGGATGAAATGCTTGATGCTGAAGAGGGCAATGGACCTAGCTATAAAATATTATTGGAGAGTTGTCTACTAGAATCTAGAAACTTCTGGTAGGTTAGCAGGGCATTTGATAATGTAGTTCTATATAAAGAAGTCTGGTTGATCTGGTTCGCTGGTTCTTACTGTAGTAAATAGGAATGTTTCTCCTTTATACTGCAAATGAATTATTTGTATTTGTAAGGCATTTGCAGATCTCTCCCTGTTGGTCAGGGCAGAAGTCCATGTCTATTTGCTGCAGGAGCAATTCAGTTTGCGTGTGTGTGGGGTGGGGGGGGGGGGGGGGGGGAGGTACATTTTTCCTCTAAGCAAGGAGGACCAGGAAATAAATAGTTGAGGATTCTGGCTGGTAATCAGTCATGGCAGTACTGAGTCTATCCACCCGAGGCCCCCAAACAGCACTGTTTACAGCTCTAATCCACTTCCCACAGACTAGGAATGACAAACCATGGACATAGGTGGCAGTAAGGCTTCTTGCCTGTGGATGCTTGGGTAAACAAACTATCTAGCAGTCATCCAGCAGCTAATCCTGACCAACTGCATGCAGCCTGCAGGTTGGAAGTTCCCCACCTGTGCTATAAATGATGAAATAATTGTGGAAGGATAATAAAGCAACCCGATGAAACAATTTTCCAAGCACATTCTTTTTTCTCTTTGTGTTCTTCATATGAAATATATTTTTAAAAAGAGTTAGCATGGTCAGTCAACTGAATTTTTTTTAAGGTATACAAATAAGAATATTTTGTACTTTCTCAGGCTGTAAGTATATAGAAAACATGTCAGACCAAGTTTTAAAAAGGAGGTCAAAATTATTCACTGATATAACTCCTCTTGATGTTTATAGCTTTCCATAAGCAATACAAGCAGAAATAATACCTGTTTTTTAGAGTTTTATCCACAGATCTCAAAGCACTTCACAATCTTCAATGTATTTACTCTGACAACACCTGATTTTCATTCTCATTTAACATTTGAAAAATATTTGTGTTCAGAGGTTTTCTCATAAACACAAAGAACTACATCCAGAGTGTATAATGTATTTTTTAGATTATCTACTATTCTAATTTGAAACTAGTGATAGATGAATTTAAGTGCTCACAGAAGGCTGTTAGAAGTTGAGACTTTTCTAAAAGCTTATATAAATCAATCCAAATCTTTTTGGTAAGGTTCCCAGTTAAATTTGCAAACTGAGATAAAACTCTTTTTTCAGTACTTCATCATGTCAGCCGGATTGGAAATACCACAGGAACATCTTTAAATGCCAATTTGGTATTTCTCTTCCCACAGAAAATAGGAAGCACAGAATCACACTTTAACAATGTGCTTGATCTTATTGCTTTCAGATTCCTAAGGCGAGGTGCACACTGGAGAACGTTGACTTAAGATATAAGAGAATTGCATAGCTGGAGTCAACATACCTTAAGTAGAATTTCTGAGGTGTTCCCAATGCAGGGGACGGAAGAAATCCTCTGTCATGATTATGAGGGTTAGCCAGCAGCCTGGGGACTAAGGGGTTAACTACACCTAGCCAGGTTGAGTGGCGGATAGGAATGTAGGTAGGAATTTCAAACTGGGACAAAGGAATTTGGGTTTTTCCCTCCTTTGTCTCTGTGAGTTCTTTCCAGCTATTGAGGGGGACAAACACTGTGTCTTCTTCCAAGAAAAGACTCTTTCTTCACTTTCTGTAAGTAGGGTAAAGTTTAGATAAATCTATTAGGTTTCTTGTTTTATGGTTTGAGTATGGGGTCTGATGTCTGTACTCTGTGTAAAAGATGTTTTGGCTTTCTTTGTAACTAAGTTCTAGGCCCATGGAGTTCTCCATGAGTATATTTTATTACCTTTCTATCTAGTTATTATGATTGTAACAGGAATATTGTTGTAATAATAAAAGTTTCTCTTTTCTTTTTATTAACCTGGCATTGGTTAATTGTGTGCCCTGATTTTTATTTTAGGGTGAGATTTCCCAAATGATCTTTCCCCTAATTTCATTATTAATTTTGGGTGGTGGCAGCAGAAGTTTTATTCCCAAAATCTAGGATTTTAAGATTTTTGGGGAAGTTTTATACCAAAGCCTGCCCCCACTTCTGTATTTATCGTGCCAGAGTGGGGAAGGAGCCATGACACCCTCCCATCAATTTCCATTATTCCTCATGACTCTGTTGAGTACTGGAGTTGACAGGGGCACTTTCAGTGGTCAATTTAGGAGGTCCTTACTAGATCTGTTATATTGAACCCAGGAAGATTGATCTCTGGAGTGTTGATCTCTGCATAAGTATAGACAAGGCCTTAGGTAGTGTTTTTCAGCCTTTTTTCTTTTCCTTTGTGGATCCCTAGAAAATATCAAATGGAGGTGCGGACAGCTTTGGAAATCTTCAATATAATCTGCAGACCCCCCGGTGTCCAGAGTCTGCAGGTTGAAAACCACTGCTCTAGGAAACAGAAGGATGAATTCTGCACTGTTGCACAATTTTAATTCCTGCAGTAGATGTGATAGTTTGTGCTCATCCAGAATCCCACTGTTTTCAATGAACCATACGAGTGTAGGAGTCTATGCTACTGCATGTACTTTTTGTTACTTTGAATTAGACTGCTACAAATAAGAACAGTATCTGGCCAAGTATCACTTATAATTGCTTTATACTGTTAACTAGGATGATCTGCCTTTGTATTCTCCTCTCTTTTTAAAATACAATAAGGAGAAAATGTTTTCTAAAGAAAAATAACCACACACAGTGACTTCTACAGTAGTCTAATTTAATTAATGTTTCCATCTGGCTATCATGCTTCAGTAGCCTACACAAGGCTACACACACTTTTCAAAATCTGATTTTATTTTTGTGGGAAAGGAGGCTGTCTAAATGTTTTTTTTTGGGGGGAATATACAAAAATGTGTTTGGCTCTTTTTAATAAGAATGGAAATAATACATTTAAAGGTGTATTTGTACTCAGTGATCTAGAGCTTCCACTGAAGATACTGGGTGCAGAGGGACAATTCTTCACTTACCCCTGGGCCTGGCGTAATTCAGAGCATGAACTATGTGCCTCGAGGCCTTCTCCAAGTCAGAGCCCAGAAATGTTTTGACCATGCAGCTATTTGATCCCATTCATGCCATGGAAAACAGGGCCATTGAAGGGTTGGGGGTAATACTCGGGAAACTGGCTCTTTGCTGAAGAACTCAGTCCAAGGGGAGTGTCCACTTGGGAAGATGGGATTTGCATAGCTTACCTTTGTGCTGCTAGAACTGAAAAGAGACTGAATCTCTGGCCATTTCTATACATAATATATGAACTATGATGTCTGTCCTTTGAACACACTGTAGTTATGTGTGTGTAACTGTGGTTCCCATCCCACCAGTGGCTCACTGGAAGGTTCCAGATGGCTGGTGGGGCCCAACACAAACATGCACTTTGTTTCTTTTGGCCCAGGGCAGAAGAGAGGCCGTGATGGATGATCAGGTGGACCAAAGCTGAGTAGCACTATCAGCCCATGTACTGGGTCACAGTACTCAGTGCAGGGAGCCAGGCCCAATCCTGTGGGACAGGAGCTGCGATTGTGAAATGGATGCAGGTCAGTTTATCTCCCACCGTTGTCTGGACCTTGATTCTGGCCTAGGATTAGAGTTGTTACACTGGGGTTGTGATACACACATAGTGATTTCATTGTGGATGCAGGGAGGGGATGTTGCAAGAGGGATATTTTGTGTGTGTGTGTCAGTCCCTGTTTTCCCTAGACTTACTAAAATGGTAGTATGCTGCCAACTTAATGAAAGAGCTGTTAATTGTGGGTAGTTATATGTAAAGGAATATTTTTTTAGAAGTTTTCTCCTGTATCTATTCTAGCTAAGCACTTAAATGTGTGCTTAACTTTAAGTACTGAGAAGTCCTTCTGGTCTATAAGTATGTCTACAGTGCAGTTAAAAAACCCCAGCTCTGATCCATACCCCCTGACTACTTGCAGGCTGGCCTTAAGGAAAATGGCACCCTGGGCAAATTTTCATTCTGGTGCCCAGTGGATGTGGTGCCTCCCATTGCCCCAGGACCAGTGGG